TGAATGACAGACAGGGCCCCGCAGCTGAAACAACGAACTTTGCTGTAATGGGGGAATGTGAGGACAACTGACCTAAGGAAAACACTCGAGCACAGTTCACAGCACGGACCAGCACTCCAGAGCAGAGAGAACACACCCATTACTGTCTGGCCACCTTGCCAGCATTTCATATTTATGAGCAGGGTGGCACACGTGACCAGGCAAGGAGAAGAACTGACTTCCCAAGCTGTGATCCAGCACATAAAACCAAGTGTGTTTGGAAAGGCAAGAATATAGTGAACACCACATTTTTGCCAAGCCTGTTCCCAGACTGCTTGTGGATGCATTCCACCATTGCAGCATTTCAGGAAAAAGACACTGGAACCAACCTAACACCAGCTTGCCAGCCCTTCTGTGCCACTCACCCACAAGCTCCTCCGAGGCAGGAGAGCAGGTTCCTCCCATCTCTTTGCAGAGACATTCCTTGGAGCAAGACCACAGCAAAGCAGGGTCAGCACAATCATGCCTAAGATTTTTAAAATTAATTTCTTGAAGACACCATCTGACAAAGGATGCATCGTTCTTGAGGGGCTACCACCAGAAACCTGCAGACCTGTAACAAACTGCATGAGGGACTAACTGCATGTCAGTTTTACCAACAAAGGGATAGGGGTCTAAGAGTTTCACGGAGCATATTTACAAACCATGGGGTGAAAAACTGCATCAGTGAAGGTAAACAGCCTAGACACTCCACAATACTGGCCCACATCATATTCTTTTATATCTAAAAGTAAAAAAATATGGCCCATTCCCACTGCCCACCCACCCCACGATATTTACAAGTAAGATCAGCCAAGATGGTACATAAGGAAGATACACAGGCAGACTGTGCTTTCAGTCTCAGTTTGGTTTCTCCGTCTTCCTGCTGACAGACTCCTTTATTGCTTGGGACACTGGCTGGACCTCACCAGTGCTGTCTGTGCCTCCGGGATGCTGGCACAGCAAACAGCAGGGAGGCTTTGGCAACCTCTGGCAGCAGACAAAACCTGTACAGTTGCACTCTAAATCTCCAAAAAAAGGATGACGAGATGTATCAGGTACATTCACTGTCACCCACGCTTCTGCTGCGTGTTCCACTGCAAGAGAATTCGGCATCTGCTGCTGAAGTTGAAAACTGTCAGTGTTCACATTTGGCACAGAGGAATTTGCATTTGTGGACTGCAGTGAAACCAGAGAGATCCCAGATGTTAAAAACATGCACTTATGGGAAGGAACTGCACGTTCCACCTTGGAACATCAATAGCCTTGTGCACTCACAGCAGGAAAACACACAATTACAGCTTTAAAAAAATCCCACAAACATTTTGTAAATAAAACAGACTTCACCGCCCTTAGAAATAATACTGTGTCAGTTCCAACTTGGGCTGAAGCCGTGCTGGACACGGACTGGAAGGTTAAGAACATGTAGCATGCTGCTTCTGAACGTGTGGAGCAGTCCTCACAAAGGAATGCTGCAAACAAAGGTAAGACATGGAAAATATGCAGGAACAGGAACACAGTCTAGGAGATGTAGGCAATTCCAATGCTATGCTTGCAATGATGTGCTGCTGTTACAGTGTGGAAGTCATCCAACAGCAGCTGCAGCAGAGGAATTAGTCGTCAATAGTTGGCAACCAGAAGGCCTAAAGAGGAGGAAGGAAAACATCTACTCAGAGCAGAACACAAATTTCTCCTACAACACACTGCAGGAGCTGATCATTGCTACTTTCTGTTAGGCAGAGACTACCAAAGAGGCAGTAACACCCTCTCAGCAGTTTAAGGTTACAATCCTTGCTTTGGCTTGCACTGCACGTTCTCCAGAGCAAGCCAGGCTTACACAAACTGAAAATACCAGCAGTGTGCAGGGATCTAAAGAACTCCTCCTTCTGTGTGCACACTCACTCACTGCTCTGCTCTCATGTGCATGTTCACACGCTGGCTGGCCAGGTGTGCTGCCCCACACACCTACCTGCCAGGTGTGGCACAGTCAGGGTGTAACAGAAGGGCCTGGCTCTCACCAAAGCCTGAGGCAATACCCAGCAGAGGCACTGAGCCTTCTCAGATTCATCTCCAGAAGGGTCAGCACCTCACGGAGCTCAGAGGAACGTAAAAGCATTTCCTTACCATATTGGAACATGCGCTGGCGAAAGTCATGAATTTTGGATTGAACTGCAGACAGGTTATGGGACCTGTGTGTTTCCCATCCAGGACAGCCACCTTCATCCCACTTTCTCCATTCCAAACATGGATCTTCCCATCTTCTGAGCCTGCAGGCAGGAGTGGAAAACAAGATATGCAAGATACACTGGAGAGGTCAGCAGAGAAAAAGAAGAACATAACCTTTCCTGTCAGAACTGTAGAA